GGGGAGGGGCAGGGTGTTTTTTTTTTTCCCTGCCCCTCCCCCCGTTTAATTTCCCCTCCCCCCCCTCCAGATGCGCCCGGCGCTGTCGCGGGCGGGTGGGGGAGGGGCGCCGCCCCTCCCCCCGCCCCAGGTGCTGCTGCTGCTGCTGCTGCTGGGATTTGGGGGTGGGGTCGCGGGGGTCGCGGGGCCCTTCCGGCCCGTGGTGATCGTGCACGGCCTGTTCGACAGCCCCAGCGACTTCCGGCACCTGCGGCAGTTCATCAACGAGGTGGGAGCCCCGAAACGGCCCGAAATCGGCCCCAAAGGGCCCCGGAATACCCCCAAAGTATCCCCGAGTCACCCCAGAAACGGCCCTGGAGTATCCCTGAAATACCCTCCAAATATCCCCAAAATGTCCCCGAAATATCCCCAAAGTATCCCCCAAATATCCCTGAAATATCTCCAAACAAACCCCAAATCAGCCCCAAAATGTCCCCGAAATATCCCCAAAGTATCCCCCAAATATCCCTGAAATATCTCCAAACAAACCCCAAATCAGCCCCAAAATGTCCCCGGAATATCCCCAAAGTATCCCCCAAATATCCCTGAAATATCTCCAAACAAACCCCAAATCAGCCCCAAAATGTCCCCGAAATATCCCCAAAGTATCCCCCAAATATCCCTGAAATATCTCCAAACAAACCCCAAATCAGCCCCAAAATGTCCCCGGAATATCCCCAAAGTATCCCCCAAATATCCCTGAAATATCTCCAAACAAACCCCAAATCAGCCCCAAAATGTCCCCGGAATATCCCCAAAGTATCCCCGAGTCACCCCAGAAATGTCCCTGACATATCCCCCAAAAAAACCCAAATCAGCCCCAAAATGTCCCTGAAATAACCCCAAAACTATCCCAAAATCACCCCAAAAATATCTCTGAAATATCCCCAAAATATCCTAAAATATCCTCAAAATAGCCCCAAAATATCCCCAAAATACCTCCGAAATGTCCCCGAAATATCCCCAAAATAACTCTGATATATCCCCAAAATATCCCTGAAATATCCCCCCAAAAATATCCCAAAATCAACCCAAAATATCCTCGAGTCACCCCCAAAATATCCCTGAAATTGCCCTGAAATCACCCCAAAATCGAAATATCCCCAAATTATCCCCGAGTCACCCCCAAAATGTCCCTGAAATATCCCCCAAAAAAACCCAAATCAGCCCCAAAATGTCCCTGAAATAACCCCAAAACTATCCCAAAATCACCCCAAAAATATCTCTGAAATATCCCCAAAATATCCTAAAATATCCTCAAAATAGCCCCAAAATATCCCCAAAATACCTCCGAAATGTCCCCGAAATATCCCCAAAATAACTCTGATATATCCCCAAAATATCCCTGAAATATCCCCCCAAAAATATCCCAAAATCAACCCAAAATATCCTCCAAAGATATCCCTAAAATATCCCCGAAATATTCCAGACATATCCCCCCAAAAAACCCCAAAATCGGCCCAAAATGTCCCCGGAATATCCCCAAAATATCTCCAAAATATCTCCAAAATATCGCCGAAATATCCCCAAATTATCCCCGAGTCACCCCCAAAATGTCCCTGAAATATCCCCCAAAAAAACCCAGATCAGCCTCAAATCACCCCAAAAATATCCCCAAAAATATCCCTGAAATATCCCCAAAAAATCCCTGAAATATCCCCCCAAAAATATCCCAAAATCAACCCAAAATATCCTCGAGTCACCCCCAAAATATCCCTGAAATTGCCCTGAAATCACCCCAAAATCTCCCAGAAATATCCCCCAAAAAAACCCAGATCAGCCTCAAATCACCCCAAAAATATCCCCAAAAATATCCCTGAAATATCCCCAAAAAAACCCCCAAATCAGCCCAAAAATATCCCCCAAAAACCTCCAAATCACCCCAAAAATCACCACGAAATAGCCCCAAAATATCCCCGAAATACCATAAAAATACCCCCAAAATATCCCCCAAAAAATCCCCAAAATATCTCACAATTACCCCCAAAATATCCCAAAAATACCATGAAATATCACCAAAATCACCCCAAAAATATCCCAAAATCCCCCAAATTTCCCATTTTTGGCCTCCCTGACCCCATTTTCGGTGTCCCTAACCCCATTTTTGGGGTCCCACTCCCATTTTTGGGGTCCCAATCCCATTTTTGGGGTCCCTGATCCCATTTTTGGGTCCCTGATCCCATTTTTTGGTGTCCCTATCCCCATTTTTGGGGTCCCACTCCCATTTTTTGGGGTCCCAAATCCATTTTTGGTGTCCCTGATCCCATTTTCAAGGCTCCTGACCCCATTTTTGGGGTCCTGATCCCATTTTTTTTTGGGTCCCTGACCCATTTCTGGGCTCCCTTATCCCATTTTTTACCGTCCCAACCCCATTTTTGGGGTCCCTAACCCCATTTTTTGAGCTCCTGACCCCATTTTTTGGGGTCCCTAACCCCATTTTTTGAGCTCCTGACCCCATTTTTTGGGGTCCCTAACCCCATTTTTTGAGCTCCTGACCCCATTTTTTGGGGTCCCTAACCCCATTTTTTGTTTTTGGGGTCCCTAACCCCATTTTTTGAGCTCCTGACCCCATTTTTTGGGGTCCCTAACCCCATTTTTTGAGCTCCTGACCCCATTTTTTGGGGTCCCTAACCCCATTTTTTGAGCTCCTGACCCCATTTTTTGGGGTCCCTAACCCCATTTTTTGAGCTCCTGACCCCATTTTTTGGGGTCCCTAACCCCATTTTTTGGGGTCCTGATCCCATTTTCGGGGTCCCCGACCCCCTTTTCCCCCCCAGAGCCACCCGGGCACGGAGGTGAC